AATGAAAGAGCCTTGTATATTTGGAGGACAGTTATACTAAGTGTGAGTTGTTTTAGAGAAGTGGCAGAAGATGACATATGGAGTGGAGAGGGGCCAGGTTACAAATGACTCAGTGTGTCATACTAAGAAATTATGATTTTTATCCTGAAGGCAATTTAATAAAAATTTTATAAGGGAAATGACTTGATCAGAATTACATATTCAAAAGGCATTTATAGCCGTGTGAGGAATAAACTGAGGTGAGGGACCAGGTAGTAAGCTATAAAGAGGCATAACGTTTTAAATGGATTTTTGAATTATTTGGCAGATCAAATAATAATGAATTAGGGATTAATTGGTTATGGACACAAACTGAAGGAAAACTGTCCAGGATGACTCGTAGGGTTTTGGGTTTTGCAGATGTGTGGGTGATGTGTCATTCAGTAAAACAGTAAATGTGGAAAATGACTGGTTGGGTTGGTGGCATGTGAGTGTGACTGAGGTGGCATCTGAGTCTGTTTGGGGCATCTTCAACTTGAGCTACCATGGACTTTTGGTGGAAATATCCACACGTGCACACAAAAAAAACCCCAAAAACTTTTTATGTTTTAGGGCCCAGACTTGCTACTTCTTATTAGTGTGACCTTAGACAGGGCACTTAACCTTCTAAGACAGCTTTTATAGTTGTAAAAAAGAGATAATGGTACCTAACTCATAGGGTTGTTGTGTGAATTAAATGATCTAGTGGACAAACATTTAATAGAGTGCCTAATACATGGTAACTCAATAAATATTGTTATCATTCTTGATATGGGTGTTTCTAATATCTTGTTTGGGCCATGGTATGGATTAGATGCACAGAGAATGAAGAGAGAGAGGACCAGATATGGCCTACTAGGGAATGTGAACAGTTTATCCTGGGAAATTTAGTAGTCCGGATCTTCTTACTATGCCCACTACCCTAAACAGATTATTCCACATATTATTGGAGGAAATGCAGTGTAATCTTTGCCTTCTACCCAAAGAATAAGTGCTAGGTTAGGTAAGTATTAAGTAAGATAAACGTTATTTCTATTTCCTTAGCTCATTTATTCAAACTCATTTGTTCACACATTTACTGAGATACCCGTAGACATTGTAGGCGCTGAAAAGATATGGCAGAGAACAAACACTTGTCACAGCTCTCATGGTGCTTGCATTCTAAAGGAGAGGCAGGTATTCATTAAAAAAAATAAAAAAATATCAGAGAGTGATAAGTGCTATAGAGAGAATGGAAATATGATAAAATGTCAGAGTTCCTAAGAGTTTATTTTCGATTGGGCGCGCAGGGAAGGCCTCTTTGTGGTGATATATGTAAGATCAACAGCAGCCAGCCATGGGGAGAGTGGAAGGAAAACACACCCATATTCTAGGCAGTGCAAATGCCTCAGGGCAGGATAAGCTGTTGGGTGTATTTAGAGAACAGAAAGAAGGCCAAAGGAAATCGAGGGAGAGGGCAGTGGGAAAATGATGAGAGACAGAGAGGAGATAGCTACCAAGTCATGAAGGACCCTGTAAGCCAGGATAAGTAGCTCAGATTGACTCTAGGTGACTTGGAAAAGCCTTTAGAAAGCTGTAGGCAGGAGAGTAGCGTGCTCTGATATACGTTTTAGGAAGATCACTCTGATTAGAAGAGGCCACTATGAGGAAGGGAGGTCAGAAACAGGTGGCTAATGAAACAGTCTAGATGGGACTTTACTTATTTTGTTCTCCTGTTTTCGGGCCAAAGCCCCATTCTGAAGCTCCTCGTTGCATGGAAGTCTCCAAGGCATCCTTGAATTGACGCCCCTCAGGAGAATTGTGCTGATAATCTATGTGCTGTGGGCCTGGAGAGAGAGAAAACAAGCAGTGATTACCAACTGAGGGTCTTTAACCAGGTTTTTAGCTATGGGCTCACGAATGGGGTTTTAGAAGTGCAAGCGTATGTAGGAAGGATGTATAGCTTCTTACCAGTTTGTCAGAGGGACCTTTGACCTCTAAAAGATTAACCAATGACTGATAGGCAGAGTGTTGAGAGCTGTGGGAGAAGGTGTCATAGGCATTACAGAAAACAAAAGCACCAATGAAGCTTCTGCTTTTAAGAGCTCATAAGTTAAACACAGTTAGACACTAGAAAAATGAGTGAAACCAGAAGTGGGCAGGTCAGATCACCTGGTATTCAGGGAACATTAAAAGATGAAATGTCTTTGCCTGGCCGGCATGGCCTGAAAACCAGCAGGTCATGGTTTGGTTCTTGTCTGGGCACATGCCCAGTGTGTGGGCTTGATTCTCAGTAGGGGGCATGTAGGAGGCAGCCGATCAATGATTCTCATTGTTGATGTTTCTATATCTCTCTTCCTCTCTGAAATCAATAAAGATATATTAGAAAAAGAATAAAATATATTTTCCCTTTAGCTTCCTTCCCTTGCATTTTTAGTTATAAGTCTAGAAATTCGTTTTGCTCTGTATTAAATGTTCATAAAAGCCACAAGATGGCGAGGTTGCTCCTTAAAATAAATGTGAGCACCTGAGGGATTGGAAGGGGGTGAGGAGGAAGGGGGTGAGGAGGAAGGGGGTGAGGAGGATTGGAAGGGGGTGAGAGAGAGAGAGAGAGAGAGAGAGAGAGAGAGAGAGAGAGAGAGAGAGAGAGAGAGAAAAGAGGGAGTTAGAGAAGGAGAAGGAAGAGAGTGAGAGAGAGGGAGAGGGAGAAGTGTTTCTCTGATTTTCTGTAACCTTTCAGTTTTCTTATCTCCTTACTTGATTATAAACTAGAACTAAATTTTTCCTCTTTAATTTTGATTTTGATCATGGTTGTTTCTGGATCATAAAATTTACAATTAAAAAGAACTATCTGGCTCCCATGCTTATCATTTTTCAGCTCTTTATTAAATTATTAATAAATAATTCATTCCTCACATTGCCAACAGAGTAATCTTTGCAAACTACCATTTAGGTAATGTCAGTTCTCTGCTTTAAAATTTTCTATTTATTGTCATAAATATGTGTTGATAGTTCTGGTAGTTAAGGTACATATAATGCAAAAAGATAGGATAACTTTCGATTCATACTACAAAATATATAATATATATTTTATTGTTATCATTTTTTCAAAAATGAACAAGTACAAAAACTTTTGATTTGAATGGGTTATTAAACAACATAATTGCAGCGCTTAGACTATTTATTCTCATCGTTTCATCGTACCTCAAGGCAGGTTTTGTTTTCTCAATATTTTGTGGAAAGGGCAAGCTACTATATTATTAGCATATTAATCAATGAAAATTTACTATAACTAAGTATATTTAGCTCTCCTACTAAAGTGTATTTTGTTTATACTGTTTTATTAACTTGAATTCTCATAATAAATCTATGAGATAAATGTGACTATTGTCACAGTGGTTCAGGGAGGTTAAAGGAATTGTCGAAAATATAGTCCCTTTGCAGAGCTATAATTTGAATCCAAATGTTTTCATGCCATACTCCCTGCCTTCACAAGCGTTCCTTTATTTTTCTCTTTAATAGAAATACTTGGAAGTTAGAACTTGCATTGCAAGGCAAGCACTACAATGCGCTTTTCCTTAGCAAGCTGTTTTCTGAGCGTGTTTTAGGTGGGCCCTTGTTTGGAAGACTCCATTTGCAGTTGTGATGGTGAGGGTTTCCGTTAGTCACTTGATGGATTAGGGTCTTGGCCTGAGCACCTGATTTTCCCTTCTTGGAGCAGACTGGCTCTTAATTTCATTTCTTGCTTTACAGTTGGGATACCAGGTTTTAAAGAGCAGCCCCCCAGTGTTCCTGCTGTGTTGGAGGGATTTCTCTCTGCTCCTGGAGGCCTGTCTTATGCCTGGGACACCAGGGCTTCCAGACTGGAAGCGTGGTATAGGGGGCCCTTTACCACTGTGAGCTAGCTGTTCTAGAATCCAAATTCATCCTAAAGCTTGGCACTCATTTCTGCATGGACATTTATGTGGTATATCAGGTTAATTCATTTGAGGGTATTGTATCAACCCGCATCCCAGGAATAAATTCCACTTGATCATGGTGTATGATCTCTATAGTGTATTGCTGGATTCAGTTTACTAATATTTCTTTTAAGATTTTTTTGCTATTATGTTTATCAGGAATATTGATCTATCACTGTTAGGAGATGTTATCATTTTATTCATGCTCAGATTTTTAATCACTTTTACATTTTTTTGTATACTTGAGAGAATAAGCAAACAGAACCGGGGAGATATTGTTTTTTTCTTCACTCTGCATATTGTTTGGTATAGAACAATAATAGCAAATACCTATTGGAGTCTAGAAGGTAAGGTGAATGAGTGAAACAGGCTGAGGCATAAAGGAGTGAGTGGTGGAGACTGGCAAATTGGAGAATTTATGCCCTGTGTAAATGGGAAGATGTTATTTAACTCTTATTGCTGCCATGTGAAAACATGGGCCTAGTTTTTATTTTCTGATTTTTCAGAAAAAGCCAGAAATTTTTTATTTTTTGTGTGCTATCTTCTGATTTTTAAATATTCTAAACTAAATAAAAACATTTGAAAACACTCTTCAGACTAGACTAAAACATTGACACAGGTGTATAGCCACCAGTTTGCTGCCTTCTGGGGTACACCACCATACTTAATTAAAAAAAATATATATTTTATTGATTTTTTTACAGAGAGGAAAGGAGAGAGATAGAGAGTTAGAAACATCGATGAGAGAGAATCATCGATCAGCTGCCTCTTGCACACCCCCCACTGGGGATGTGCCCGCAACCAAGGTACATGCCCCTGACCGGAATCGAACCTGAGACCTTTCAGTCTGCAGACAGACGCTCTACCACTGAACCAAACTGGTTTCGGCATCATACTTAATTTTTATTACTTTCTTCAAGGGACAGTGTTGATGGCAATAGTAACAGAATGCTGCAGGATTTCTGGATACGAATGGTTTTAAACACACCATTGTATTACTATTGCTCTCCTTACGCGGTGCTATGTCTGTTCTCATTGTGGTAGGGTATGGCCAGACAGGCCCACTGTCTCAGCGAGCTGGTTATGATGCTGTGGCCTCTGCTGTCTCTGGTCTGATGCACATCACAGGCCCTGAGGTAGGTATCCTTCTTAAGATTATTCATAATTTTTCACCAGGTGTTCCAAAGGGATTTTCAGTCTTTACTAACCTATTAAAATTGAGTTAATTTTAGAAAGAATCCAAGGAAAGTGAATGACTTACTGAAAATATCTATATGCCCTAATTGTGAATATGGCCTCAATTACCTAATAAAAGAGTAACATGCTAATTGGCCATACCTTCGCAACACTCACCACCCAATCAGGAGTGAGTATGCAAATTAACCCAAGACAAAAAAAAAATGGCAGGTCAATTTGGGTGTCGAGTGGCTGGGGGTGGAGTGGGACGCAGGGTTCTGCACCACCTCAGCCACTCCAGGCCTCCGGGCAGCGGAGGAAGGCGGAAAGGCAGCTCTGGCCAGAGCGAAGGTGGTGCCGGCAGCCAGGGGAAGGAAGGCCCATTCTTGCACGAATCTTCATGTATCAGGCCACTAGTAGGAAATAACACTCTTTTCTTTTTAAAAGTATATTTTATTGATTTTTTGCAGAGAGGAAGGGGGAGGGATAGAGAGTCAGAAACATCAATGAGAGAGAAACATTGATCAGCTGCCTCCCACTGTAGTTGTATATCGTAAGTCTTGAGAAAAATCTTCCTTTTCTTATACCATAGTTTTACAAGAAAATCACCAAGGATTGTTCTGACAAAAGAGTTTCATTAATGTATTAAAAGAGATAAATACATTTAATGTGGTTTCTAAGAGACTATAAAAAATAAATAAGTCATTCTACTAACAATTTTTAGAATTAAAATTTAGTAAAATATAAACAAGGTAAAATATATTTAAAAGAACTTAAGATATATATATAAAATTTTTATTTTATTTGGTTTGGCTTTGCTTGGTAGGAGATAGAGCAAGAAATTCAGCAAATATACAGTAAATATAAATATATTCTTACCACCAACAGATGTTTGTAGTAGTTTGTTGTATTTCTTTAGTGTGTGTTTGCATATACAGTTTTTTCTTCTATTTGACCTTAGAATACTTGAGAAATCATATGATGGTTTTAATTCTTAAATTTCTCTGTTTTCCTCAACCCAATGCTTAAATCAGGATGGAGATCCAGTTCGTCCAGGAGTGGCCATGACTGATCTTGCCACTGGCCTGTATGCATGTGGAGCCATTATGGCTGGATTAATACAAAGATACAAAACTGGAAAAGGACTGTTCATTGATTGTAACCTACTGTCATCTCAGGTACCAATCCCAATAACATTTTAGATAGTCTAGTAAAAGCATGTAGCTGGGTTATACTTTTTCATTCTGCATATAGTGATCACATTTGAAAAAATAGAAAACAAAACAGAAAAACCAAAAAGCTATTTTGTTTTGATGTATTTCATTGTTGTTATATTATAATAACCACAAAAATTTTATTGTATGTAGACATTGCCAGTGAACTAGATTTTAGAGACAGTTTTTATTGTACTAGATCTATTATAAGAGTTTAAGTGTTTCTATTTTATTGTCACACTAGAGGCCTGGTGCACAAAATCGTGCATGGTGGGGGTCCCTCGGCCTGGCCGACAATTGGGCCTGATTTTCCCCAAAGAAAGGTGTGCTTATTTTTTTTTTTTGGTCAAAGGAAGGGGAAATGGACATTGGGGAACCAACCACCAATGTTCAGTATACTAATATACTGTGTTGTTTAAGCATCTAATTCAATAGAGGAAATAAAAAATTCTTTGTAAATTGAAAGTATTCTGCCGATGACTAGTATTAATTTTATTACATTATAAAAATAGTTCCCAGTGTTATAAATGTGCTGAGATGAAAAAGTTGGTTATTGACAGTGATTTCATCATAATTATTATAACTTTTCATAATATAGAAATCTTGACTAACTTCACTTTAGTCTTTTCATTTAACATTCACATACTCCAGATCCAAAAACCAAACCACAAAATAATTAAAATTTGCTTTATGAAAATGAGAAGTGCTATTTCCAGATAGTTTACAAATATGATAACATAATAGGAAACTTCTCCCTTAAAAACAGCATCCATTTCTTTTTTTATATAAATATTCACCTGCATTAAGTAGATTATATTAGCACTTGATTTAATCTGCCTGAAGAATGCCTGTGATTTCATACACTGGTAAAAAAACATACTTTTCTACTCATTTTGATTACATTATAGAACTACAAATGAATGTTTGTAACATTTAACATCAGTTGCTAAAAATGAAATTTTGTACTTCCTCTCTTAAACGTGATCTAATGTACAATATAAAAATCACACTGATTTGAATAGTTGAATACTAGCTACTTATTAACTCAGAGATGATTGCCTCAACCACAACAAAACCATTATATTGTACAGATATGACAGTGGCCGGGATGTGGTTTTTAGTGGGCATCAATTTTTTTGGAGTTTCATGGCTATAAACTTTTAACCCTTTTCATAAAATTCTTTGATTTTTTTTTTAGTCTTAATATGATTTAAAGTTGTCAACTGAAGATTGTCTAACATCAGCATCTAAACAGTAATCTTTAGATAATATTGGTAAATAACAAGGAAGTGGTTTGGGATGTGGTTCCAATTACTCTGTTGCTCTTATTCTTCTGTTGTGGCTTACAGAAATATCTATTGGAAGTTTTAATATCCTTCCTGTACTTAATTGCAACCAGACTCTCATAATTACCACTACAATGAGTTAGTTTTTTTTTTTTAGCACCAAACTTAAATAATTATTTCCCATACAGAATGTTTTGGCATTTTTGTTGTCACTATTCTTTCTCCATGTTTGTTATATTGTTTATATTTAGGGTACATAAAATTTTAACTCTCATTATTATAGCACAATTTTATGGACAAAATTTTGAATTTTAAAAATATATAGTAATCTGAAATTTATCTTTTTGTGTCTTTAGATGCAACCATGTTTTTGCTTTTCTTTTTTGTTCTATATCCCTTTTAATAATTTTCATGAGTTATATTTTACATACCATAAAATTCACTCTATTTCAAGTGACCATGTGATAATTTTCAATAAATGTAGTGAGTTATGCAACCATCACCATAAATCAGGTTTTGAAATAAATACTCATACAGTTCTCTCTGGTCTGGGTGTTCCCCTGAGGCTAGTGGGGAGGAATGGAAGGCTAAGCTGATTCAGAGGAACTCAGGGCCCGTTATGACTTAGGTGGGCCCCAGAAAATGTTGCCTTTGTTGGGTACATTTCTCCATTAGTAATCTAATTATTGTAAGAATTATAATTGCATTGATATAAAGATAAACATAATTCATTATTATGTGTTTAACATTATTGCATTCATTTTTTCTTCTGATTTCAAAAGAAATTAAACACTTTTTTGTACCTCTACAGCACGGGTGGGGAAACTTCTTTCTGTCAAGGGTCATTTGGATATTTATAACCCCATTCACGGGCCATACAAAATTACCAACTTGAAAAATTAGCCTGCTACTTTTGGTCAGACATTTAATTCAGTCACCCCGAATGCCTCGGCAGGGCCAGAGATGATTTCCAAGGTGTTTCATGTCCCACAGCCTGGCGCTCCCCACCCCTAATCTAAAGTGTCCTGGGCCGTAAGCCTATGCTAAACTGGTAAATCAGCTCTAGAATGTGCTAAACCTGTGAGGAAAGACAATTGTTCATCCAAGAAGGACGTGGAAGCTGAAAGTTGAGATTGTGATGAAAGGTGAATAGAAAAAGGAAAGGTAGAGAGGCAACGGTATATGACCAACTAAGTGGAGAGCATTGGAGTAGTGAGAGGGGAAAAAAGACAATGTAAGAAAGTTCAAGAAGTCAGGGAACTGTCAGTATGCATTTGAACTTCCTTTTTTTGAGGAGCTCGATGCATTCCTGCCTTGAAGGCCCTTGTCAGGCTGCTGCCAATTTTTCATGCTAGTCCAGCTTCCATTCTTTAATGAACACTCTCTCTGAAACCTCCCGCTGCTCTATTAATTTAAGTCCGGGGCATACAAATAGATATTAACATCTACCTAATATTAAGAAGAGCAACCAGGAAGATAAAGATATACACACACAAAATGAAAAAGTCAGGTGACTTCCAAGGAAAGGTACAGAGTATTTTAGATAATTTTTTTATTTTATGTTTGTTTATTTATTTATTTATTTATTTATTTATTTATTTATTTATTTTATACTGTTGGTTAGGTTGAATATAGGTGACTACAATACAAATCATGGTTCACCATTTTTAAGAGAAGATGCAGGTGTACTGGTAGGATGCTCAGGTGTTGTGTCATTGAAGTTGTTAGTCGTTATATTCATGGGCATTGCATATTTTTATATGTAAGCCACAAACAAGAGCTTTAACTAGTAGTAATCAATAATACTAGTGGGAGAATATCTCAAGGAGAAGAGAATAAAATGGGAAAATACATTTTATTGTAATCTGATTTAATTCTCTTGTTAGATACTTTAAAACAAGTTGGTGTTTTTAAAATGTGTAAAACAATAGAAAGATAATTAAGATCAAGATATAAAATAGGAGAAAGATCTATTGGTATTGCCAAATATTCCCTGAAATTAGATTTTTTCCTTGTAGACTCTTACAGAAAAATAAATTTAATTGTTCTTAACGGTGGGTTTAATAGTTTTAGGATCACCTATATTCAGGACCCGGATATAGGTCTGGGACCCGGATGTAGGTCTGGGTACTCAGGCATGGTGTAGTCACTAGGGGGCGCTATGGGCCCAGTTGTGAGGTTTGGGGCAAGAGCAGGACCTCGAGATGATGAAAAGCTGGGTAGGATTAGCCTGGTTAATCAGCCTCCAATTAAGGAATAGGCACTGGCTGCCAGTATGGGTCCCAGGAATGGCCTTCTGGTCTCCCACAATGGTCTGCTACCAGGAGATTGGTCTGGGCCCCGGACTGATGTCTGGGTCCTGGGAGAGCTTTTGGGTCCAGGGCGAGATGTCTGGGCCCCTGGGGGCAGTCTGGTACCTCACCTGGACCTCTGGGTTATGGAAATGGTGGTCTTGCTTCCAAATTGAGAAGAACACCCAGGATCCCAGTCTGGAATCTGTGTTTGAGGCCTTTGCCCCGGGAAAATCTTCTCAGGCCCGCCATGATAATCTGGGTCCCAGATGTAGGTGTGAGCCCCAGGTGGAGGTCTGGGTCCTCTGAGACCAGTTCGGGCCCGGAGGAAATTTTGAGCCTCCGAGGCGGTCTGGTACCTGACCTGAGCATCTGGGTGATGGAATAGTTGTTTGGGATATGCATAGAGATCTCTTCCCCGATACAACAATGTGTTCCAGGTTTGTGGCCTGGGCCCCAGGTGGGGCTACTAAGCCCTGCCATGAAGGTCTGGGACCCGGATGTAGGTCTGGGTGCTCAGGCATGGTGTGGTCACTAGGGGGCGCTATGGGCCCAGTTGTGAGGTTTGGGGCAAGGGCAGGAACTCAAGATGATGAAAAGCTGGGTAGGATTAGCCTGGTTAATTGGCCTCCAATTAAGGAATAGGCACTGGCTGCCGGTATGGGTCCCAGGAATGTCCTCCTGGTCTCACACAATGGTCTGCTACCAGGAAGTTGGTCTGGGCCCCGGACGGATGTCTGGGTCCTGGGAGGGCCTTTGGGGCCAAGGAAGGTTGTCTGGGCCCCTGAGGGCGGTCTGGTACCTCACTTGGACCTCTGGGTTATAGAAGTGGTGGTCTTGCTTACCAATTGAGAAGTAGACCAAGGATACAATTCTGGAATCTGTGTTTGAGGCCTTTGCCCCGGGAAAATCTTCTCAGGCCCGCCATGATAATCTGGGTCCCAGATGTAGGTGTGAGCCCCAGGTGGAGGTCTGGGTCCTCTGAGGCAGTTCGGGCCCGGAGGAAATTTTGAGCCTCCCAGGCGGTCTGGTACCTGACCTGAGCATCTGAGTGATGGAATAGTTGTTTGGGATATGCATAGAGATCTCTTCCCCTGATACAACAATGTGTTCCAGGTTTGTGGCCTGGGCCCCAGGTGGGCCAATTAGGCCCTGCTATGAAGGTCTGAGCTCCGGATGTAGGTCTGGGTGCTCATGCATGGTATGGTCACTAGGAGGTGCTATGGGCCCAGGGGTTAGGTTTGGGGTAAGGGCAGGACCTCGGGATGATGAAATGGTGGTCAGGACTAGCCTGGTAATTTGGACTCCAAATAAGGAATAGGCACTGGCTTCCAGTTATCATTCTTCGAAATGGCCTTCTGGTTTTTGCCATAATGGTATGCGTCTA